GCGCCTCACTATCAAAACAAGTGCATTAAGAAAATGGTCAACAAGGCAACCCCAGAAAAAAGTGTCTTATTGGCCATGTCCATCGTACAGATTGAAATCCACAACTATGGAATACGGACAGAATTCATTTTAAACCATTGAAATGGCACCATAGTTACACTAATTTATATTAACGAAGCATACGTTAAATAACAAGCACAGCAACAATTTACAAACACAGTAGACCTTAATGCTTTGATTAGAACACACACACATTTAGGAAAGGTATTTGATTGGTAGGTTCCGGTGTGTTTCGTAAAGAAAGAGCTAATCAGTTTGAGTTAAAATGGAAGTTTTACAGAGGATTTACCAAGCAGCCAACAGTTTCACTTACAGGCAGAAGAGACTCTCCATCGGATAATATTACAACAGGAAAGTCTGTATGGATGGGTATAGGATGCCACTGGTAGTCATAATCTACTCGCTGCCAGCTAATGACATCAGCCAGAGCCTTCACATTGGACACACCTGCAGGGAATAAAAACAATAATAGATGCAACCAAATGAACCAGTGTAAATGTACATTGGACACAACCTAGGTGCTTATTCTTAATCAGCAGATGGTAAAGAGGGAGGCACCATGGGGTAGAGGCTAGACGGAAGGTTGTGGGGTCGCTCTCTGGCGAAGCCATACTTTAAAAAAAAAAAAAAAAAACCGACCTTGACTCTCAGGATGACCCAGCCTTAAGTGGGTACCGTGTGCAGTACCGGGAAGAAAAGGCGGCGGGCGTGATGCTGACCACATAACCCATCTTGTGCTGATTGGTCTATAAAAATATAGGTCTAACCCTATACGCCTAAAGGCATGGAAAAGGGAACTTTAGTTTTTTACAAATGGTAAAGAATGTATATGAAGATTTTTGTTAAAATCACACAGTATATTTCTTGTACACAATGCTGCTTATGGCATTCTTTACATAAATTCCTCTTCTTTCTTCTTTCAGTCTCTTAAAATAGATTATAAAAATCTGCAATTTTCTAGTATTTTGTCTCTAATTTTGTCTTTTGTGATTCAGTCAGGGACCCATAAAGTTTGGCTTGAAACAGTGTTTCTTTTGGCCTGAAGTGTTGCCTTGATATGTTGTATTTTGGACAGTCTTGGAGGACGTGATCTGTTGTCTCAAGTGCCAATCCACATGTGCACATGATAGATTGCCAATCTTACATTTTGTCTACATCTGGCTGTGAAATCAATTGTGCCCTGTTCTAAGGCTAGAATAATGACTTGCTCTAGTCTGTCTATAATATGGTAATCCTCTTGTGCCAATTTTGGTGGCCGGAAACTATACAGCGGGATGGTATCCACTGCATAATTACCTTACACCATTGCCTAGTTACATTTAGTTATATCAAATAAAAATAAATTCCATTGAAGTTTTTACAAAAAGTGAATTCTAGAGGCTGAATTTTAAATAAACCTACTCAAGTATCTGAAATATCTTTAATGTCAGGTTTAAGTGAGCATATTCAATGAGTAGCAGACGGCTTACAAGACTGCTTCTTCTTCTGCCTTTTCCCAATGGCGCTTACACTTCCTTAACCACTGAACCTTGTGTGTACTTGCTTGCAATAAGCTAGATTTCTGCAGGATGAGGTAGCCAATCTGAAACCAAGCCTCCTTTGTTGCCTCTGATAACATGCTTGTTGAATTTCAGAATGATTTTTTGTGACCCTTACTGTCTTGTTAACACACCAGGAAATAATTAATTCTATCTGAGAATTCTATTAAAAAAATGATAAAAACAACACGAGCAGAAAAAACCTGCATTTTCTTCTTTGCATTGACTGGCTGTAAACTCTGGTGGAAAGCTCTCTCTGTTCATCCACTTCTGGTTTTTACTCTTACTTCAGAACTTGAGTTCTGATGTATGTACTGGATGTAAACTTGCCAAAAAATGCGAGGGTTGGTTCTGCAACGTCCTGTAAAGGATAACTTTAACTGTCACTTCACTGAGCTAATTTTTCTGGAATTATGCTGCCATGTCTGAGATGTATAGGCTGATTCACAAAAATCTGGCCATCGACAATCAGGTGCCTTCATATTTCCAGGCTACAGTAATGAGTTGAGTTGAGTCAAGAATAGACATCACAGCACTCGGGGCATTCCCATGCGTGCTCCGTCTTTATCTTCAGCAGCCAGCGCAGAGTTCCAATACTGATGGTACTGGTAGGCTACAGTAATGATCACAATTCTTAGGCACTATTTTATTTAGCTAGGTCCTGTTCTTGACGGACCGGGCTCTCTTCAAAAATGACTTTGGCCCCTGTCGACCCAGCCTTGAGTGGGTACCAGGTGCAGTCTTGGGAAGTAAAAGCAGCCGGTGTGATGATGACCACATCACCCACCAAGTGACAACTGGTCTATAAAATACAGGTCTAGCCCTATATGCCCAATACGCCTGAAGGCATGTAAAAGTGTTCTTTACTTTTTTTTCATTTCTATTTACCTATTATAGCGGGAAAAAAATTAATTACATGAATCTTATTTTCTTGAAAACAAAATTTTCAGGAATAATTTTATTCAGCTCAACTAAAAGCTTCCTTGTCAAAGCTGGTTCTGGTAATCCCACTTACCGGTCTGGTTCAGCTGTCCCTGCTGCAGTGCAGTCTCGTTCAGCACCAACTGTGTACCTGCTGCAAGCTGCAACATCCCAGCTGTAAGGCGATTCAGATTGTAGTCCTTTGACGGAATCAGCCGCATTGAATTCATATTATCAATGGACATATCTATCAGCAAGGACTGAAATAGGAAAAAAAAAGCCATATGAAGCTATTCTTTGATGTCTGTCAAATATAATTTAAACAGCATGACTTCAAAACTGAAGTACAACTACTGCACGTATTACTGCTTTATTATTATGACAGAGATTTACTAGTCCTGACGATGTAAATATACAGTAGGCCTAAGTAAATAAAATTAAAAAAGAGGAAGGTAACTTTTGGATGAAAAAAACAATGGCTCTTGTTTGGAAGGGGAAGTGATTCTGGTGAATCAAATTCGATTATTCATCAGCACTTTTTATTTTTAAAAATAAGTTACCCAGTGTGGTTTGTTTTTAAATTTTTTTCCCCATAAGTGCCCAAGCAAATCATAACCAAAAGAATTGATTAGTATATTATCTATAGCGATGTTTGGGTGCCATTTCTCAATAAAATCTGAATTTTTGCCCAAGTGGACAGCCATCCTTAATTTCAAAACTTGGAATCTCTCCATCATCTTTTTTTTTCTCGCCTGATGACTCGCTGACCACGCAGGAGGAGAGACAAATAGTGACTTTTCTGGCAAATATCAAAAAAAAATTTCAAAGAAAAAAGAAAAAATTAAAAAAAAAAATTATTGGTGCAGACGAATACTGGAGGCCCACTGTACTTCTGCCATATTAACTCTTTCCACATCAGAAGGTTAAAGTCGATGCCCAATGAGTAAACTATGAAATCAACAAAATAAAAGGTATACTACATCCACAGGGCCTAAATACACATCCCTTGTAGAAAACAAATGTACTGATGAGTGATTTAGCAAGCATGCCCAGATTTAACATGGTAAAAAGCTTGGTTTTAGCAAAATAAAAGACAGGGCTCTACCAGCAGACACATGAACAAAGGATACTGGAGACACTTTGGCATGACAATAGGTGAGGAAATGGTATGATTGGACTGTGATGGGAGCAATGTTAAAGTGAGGAACTGTAACAGCGATGATATAACAAGGCTCAAATAAAAAATAGTTTGGTATTTTCCCTATATAAATAATGCGGACAAAAACAATACATTTCATAAATTACTGCCAGGCATATTTCGCTGTATCCTGTCGGGTAATTTACTACACATTTACATCAACATTTAACTAGGCACAAAATCTGAATAAAATCAATTGAAATACTTGAAAGTACTTTACAATTCCTTGGTGAACCCACTGGAGTAGCAAGGATGGCAGTGTCCAAAGTGTCAATTTACACATCTAGATTACCTATTTTGCATCTAGAGTGACTATTACTGTGTAAAATACTTGTGTGAAACTAAACGTGTAGAGGTATGACATCAACAATTATTGGGAAAATGGCACAGAAACATAAAAATCTTCCCTTTTTGCTCCAAAATGTCAATTTACACATTTAGATTACCTCCCCTTTTCTACATCTAGAGTGTCTTTTCACATGTAAAATAATTGTTTGGTACTGAAAATTAAGCAGTAGGAAACGTTAAAAGTTTGAGAAATTTCTTAGTAAAATCAGTTTTTTTCCTCGTTTGCCTATCTCCTTTTCTACCAGCAATTTGCTCCAAAATGCGCAACTAATCCTCAAGAGTATCTGTTGAAGTGTGAAATGATAGTCTGAGACAAAATTTTCAACTTTTGGAAAATGTCAATGTTTGACAAAACCCAACAGGTGTGTGCCTGTGGAAAAAGGCAAATTTTTGCCTATGTATCATAACAGGTGCAACTCTATAGCTGTTCTTCTTCTTCTGTCACCTCTCTGATACCAAGTGTTGTGGTTTTCTGCATTTGGCTTGCACTTCTCGGGTGGTCTGGGTGACGCACATGTTTATCTTTTTGCAGGTTTCAGTGACACCATTTATCCATTTCTTCTAGCATCATAAAATAAAGAAGTAGACATTTCATTAGAAATGTAACTGGTTAGTATGATACTAACCACATTAAGCTTTTTACGTCAATGACAGAAAATGTGGACAAAAGTTGAAAATTTAGTCTTAAACTGTCATTTCACACATGCATAGATAATCTAGATGGGTTACTGACATTCTGGAGCAAATTTATTGGGCATAAAAAGGAATCAGCAAAAAAAAAAAAAAAAAAAAACAGCAACAGATTTTCCTGTGAAATTTTCCGAACTACTATTAGTGTCCTACTACTACTACTACTACTACATGTTTAGTTGTTACTGACATGCAAATGTCAACAAACCGAAAAATAAAAAATTCCAGGTAGACAAAAAACAAACCTGTGGAATAAGCTGTGAGATAAGATGATGCAACAATGCTGGATACCGCTGCACCAGAGGGCACCCACTGATGTTTATGGACAATTTTCCAAGTGCCAGGCCATCAGCTCGAGCATAGCTGTAAAGACACAATACAGAAATGTGCAACTGTCAACTTTCTAATGTCATTTGTAAACTTATTGTGATACTGTGTTCATAGCCAATAATTTTGTTTATAAAGAAACGGAGCAGTCTCCTTTCAGGAAGACAAATGATATATATCAGACAGTCTAAGCATTAAGCAGCAGTCAATTAGTAAGTAGCATGTCCCTTGCAGAACCCTGCTCCCATAACAACCTTCCTGAAAACTTCTTGATCACAAGCAAGATGCCCCGCGTTCGATACACCCATCTGGAGATCATCCGCCACATCCTGCACCCATCTTCTCTTTTGCCTTCCTCTTCCTCTCTACCCAGGCATACAGCCCTCCATTATTGTTCTCTCTTAACTTTCGTGATGTTTCAAGTGACCAAAATATTTCATTTTTCGGTTTTATCGTCTTTAATAGCCAACCTTCTTCAGTATTCAGTCCTGAAGTATGGATGCATTTGTTCTTTTCTTTACTCATGATTAAGCAGCAGTAGATGTCACATTAGCTGTGAATTGTAATTTTAAGACATTATATTTAACGAATAAACCGCTATCTATATTTGCTTTTGTTTTGTGTTTGGTTAACAGTCAGATGGGCCGCGAAACAATTCTCACTGTATTGGTGGGCGACTGGTATAAAACAGGTTGAGGAACACTGCTTGAAAGGACAAAAGTATTTCACTAAATAAAAAAAAAAAAATTTGTTTCATAGCTTTTTCTTTTATTTTGTACCAAAAGTCGTCCCCTTATGGGATGCAATTTTTTATTTTATTTGAAGCCAAACCCTGGCTTCCGCCGGGGGCCCTGAATATAGCCGGGCCATAAATATGGCCTAACGGCTGAAAGTGGTTTCTGGGACCTCTCTATGGGGTATCCTCATTGGTATGGTGGCACATTGTGTCACCGGGTGTTTATCGCCTGTGTGATGTCCTGGTGGGGTACAACTACCTACCTACCTGTTTCTCTGGAAGGGCAGAATGTTATACGGGCCTGCGTGCCCAATTCTTTAACCCTTTGAAAAAAAGTTTGTTCGTTCGTTCGTTCTTATACATGGTCAAATACTTGTATTTTCATGTAAAGGGGGTTCATGCAGAATAATAAGCCACCCACTCATGTTACAAACAGTATTCAAACCTAGACATTTTATGTTTTCAAGATAACAATAGTCACAACTGGCAGAAAACGGTATCCACTAAGGTCGAGTACTTTCACTGATGGTCTTCACAGTGATGATTAATGATCTAGAAGGTAGGTTCACTGATGTATAAAAAGAACATTTTAGTCTCATCTGTGTGGTGAATTAGCATCCCTAGATCCCCAGGTATTGTCCCTAGAGGACCTGTCCAGGGCAACCATGTGCAGACAGGTCAACCCTTGAGGAAAGGCAAGGGTAGAACATAGGCATTCCATGCTCTCAATGACAGATTCTATAAATGTATACATATGGTGCTCTGGTACTGGACTCACACCCCCCCCCCCCCCCCCCAATACGTCCTGCACATGACTGCTTAACCTCACATCTGAATGTTAAGCCTTCCATTCATTGCAGGCTGCACCCTTAAAGGATCCAGAGAAGTAGTCCGCACAACACAGGACTTCGATTCCCCGCACAAAATTGGCATCTCACTTCCTCAGCATGTTAGACCTCTCTTTGCCAATGGCATCTCTCATGCCTGTGCCCTGGGGCACATGCATCAGACTCAGATTTTCCATTACACTCTGGCGAGCGCAGCCAACAGCAGCAGACATTTTAACCTTGTCATATAGAATCTGTGGGCGAAAGACATCCCAGCCTTTGCTGTCATCTAGTGGGAGAATGGACACACATTTGAACCTAATTAGCCATTCAGTAGGACTCTCAGTCAACAGAAATTTGAATCATGCTTGTCGTACAGCAGGACTCTTAGGCGACAGGTATTTGAGTCTAGGGCCGCAATAGAGCAGTAAATAGGAGACTCACTTTCAAATCCAGCTGCGACTCGCTGCAGCCCATGACCGGTGTTCGAAACCTGGTGGTTCCCGGGGTTCACCCAGCCTCTAGGAAATGGGTACCAGAGTTAACACTCTGAGGTAAATGTAGGAACGTAGCTGTAGCTACGAAGTTTTGTGCCGAAGGCGACACAGATGGGCAGTTTCTTATCAGCTGGCCGTACTGGTGGCAGAGCACTTACGGTTTATTACCGTGTGCAATGATGCTGGTTCACATCTCCAGACTTTACTTTTTTTTTTTAATTTGAGTACAAGTTTGTCGGCTTTTGCAGACGATGTGGCCCTGATAGCTAAATCAGAGGCACACCTTCAGTCCAACTTACTTGTCTGGAAGGAAGAGCTTGAAAAGAAAGGGATGACCATCAGTGTCTCCAAAACTAAAACCATGGTGACCTCAAGAGAGGAGAAGAAACACCAGATCATGATGGGACAGTATGCGTTCGAGCAGGTTAACCAGTTCAAATACCTTGGAGTTGTATTAGACCAAAATGGAGGCATTAAGACTGAGCTGGCTACACGAAAAGCAGTTGCTGGGAGACTCTTCCAGGCCATAAACCGAGGGTTTCTTAGCAAAAGAGAAATTGGCAAGATGACGAAAATGGCTGTTTACCGCTCTACCTATGTACCAGTCCTGACCAATGGGTGTGAGTCATGGGCAATGACAACAGCTCACAGAAGCCAGCTGCAGGCCTCGGAAATGAGATACCTGAGAAAGGTGGTCCAAGTGACAAGAAGGGACAAAGTCCGCAATCAGACAATACGTCAAGATCTTGATACCCAGCCCTTACTAACCCGAGTAGATCAGTCACAGTTACGATGGTTTGGACATGTATGCAGAATGGGAGAAAATCGGCCACCATGGCAAGCATGGGAGGCTAAGAACCAGGGAACCAGACCTCCGGGACGACCCAGGGTGCGCTGGGAAGACAACATCCGACAGTCCCTAACGGACAGAGGACTGGAATGGAACAAAGCCAGAAAGAAAACTGCTGATAGAGACGTCTGGCGATCTCTCTGCAAACCTCTACACCCCAAGGTAGAAGAGGAGCGACTAAGTAAAGTAAAGTAAGTACAAGTTTGTCATATAGTAAGAAACTTAGCCAGCGGACTTTTATCACCCATGCATTGGAAGTGGGCTAATGAGTGCCAAAGGATTTTAGGCTCTGCATCACTGGAGGCCATCAACTCTGAGATCCCCAACTAGCTTGGTTTAGGTCATTATCTGCGGTGTACAGCAAGGAGTGTGGTAGAGGCCTTGCAGGAGGATCTATAAAAACAAGCACACAGCCTTTTGGTGTCCGAGGTGAGGCATGGAGTATCTGCATGGAGTCTGCATGGAGTATCATGGAGTACATATTTTGTCCCCACATTGAGCATATTGTGTGTCTGGTGTAAACCTACTATTTATTAGATCAATTGGCACTTAATGGGTGGTGTGTTTAATATCAATCAAACCCTTGGTTGCTACTTTGCACAACCACCCCTGGTTGCAGTACTGCATATAGTCACGAAGTGTGTGTCTCCTCCTCCCCCCCCCCCCCCCAATTATCTCTCCCTCTATCACACACACAAACATTTCATGATGATTTATTTTGATTTAAGTATACAACATATGGTGGAAGTTTTGCAAGAAGTTCTGTGGCATTAGCAAAGATATCTATTAAACTATTTTTTTTTTAGGTTTCCCATTTACAGCCAGCTGTTGCCCAAGGCAAGCCTATGGAACAACTCTTTCACTCAATACTGAAGTCAACTTTGTCTGCGATTAAAAACAGAACAATGCAGTTTGTCAGATTACACTCTGACTGTACAGGCTAGCTCTGTGGCTGTGACAATGTATATGTAAAGATCAACCACTTCTGACCTCAGTGGAATTACATTATACTTTTCATGTACAGTAATTAATAGTCACAACCGTATCTATCTACCTACATTTTCAACAAAGTATTACAACCATAAGTCGCTCTAGCCTCCTTAAAAAAACGAGTCATTTTTGGCAAGCATTCATTTGTAAAATATTCTTAAAATCTAAATAAAAACTAAATGAAATATGTTATTAGATGTAGTATGATAGTGGTACTCACACACTCGAGACAATGTTGCACAAAAGATGTTCTGCAGCAAGTTTATCACCCAAAAGTGCATGCTCAATAACAGACAGCAATTCTACATGAAGTGAGCCAGCATCTTCCATCAACTGAGTAACATCTGCAGAAAGATGTGATAAACAATCTTTGATTATTATCTATGCAGAACAGAATGATTTGTGCTTGTTTTTCAGTGTGGTTTCCTAGACACCATATGGAAGGGGTGTGGTGGGGGGGGGGGGGAGGGGGCACTGTCCTCCTACAAACATGTCATAAAAGGCGAGTAACTAAGTATTTGCTGAAACTGGGTGTTTTGCTAAAAGGTTGAGATATTGCAGCTGTGCTGTGAGCCACAACAAAATGTACCTTTTAAGGGCAACACAGAAAACGGTGCTTGTTCCCACGATGCACATCAAATAGGTGCTCAACATGCATGGGAAATAAATGTACTAATTAAAATGCCAAATCATAAATAAACAATAAACAAATCAGTACATTTAGCATAAAGTGTCTGCTGAAGCTTTACTTTATGGAGAGCTGAAGATTAAAAATCTATTGCTCTGATGACCACATACATTAATTAATCAGACTGTTTATATTATCTAAAACAGAATGCATTTAGAAGAATCATTGCCATGTCAAAGTATAGTCTAAAAAATTAGGTGAATTTGTTAATTAAAATACTAGCAATGCAATGGCCTACCCAGTTCGCCCTTAAAAGGGCGGTCTGCAGATTGTGATGTAGCTCACAGCTAGGCTGCAGTATTTCCATGCTTTTCGACTAACTGACAGGTTCAGGCAACATCTTTTCAACACTCAGAACAGTATCCTCAAACCAGTTTCCATGCATTTCAATTCTCAGGTTAGCAGTGGTGTCTTAGATATGGAGTTTACGGCCATCAAGTTTAGCCGGTCCAATGACAGTCTGTAAGTCTCTTAAAAACAGTCTTATCTACCTACCGGGTTCCCACTCATCTAAGGGACCTGTCCAAAACAGATTTATCTACTATTTTTTTGTCACAGCCTATTCCTGCCACACTCTTTCTGGCTAGTGTTCGTGTCCTGTACTGACACATCTCAGAGCTTCCACTGATCAAACATGAATATTTCTTACAGCGATCTGAGTCAAGTGATTTCATGAATTCTTATTGGTAACTGTAACATTGTCATTGTGGACACAGGTTTTCTAGCCACAACATTCACTTGTTTTGATTGTGATAATGGGAAGCTGACTAGTTCTACTTCTAGTGCAGTTTAATACCTCTTCTAGGGATTGAACCGGGGATACTGTCTCTGCAAGCAAACCCATGACCTCTAAATTACTGCTGCCTAACATGTCAATAAGTTCTTAAATTGACAGCAACAAAACTTTATAGCTTTAAAAAAAAAAAGGTTTTCACAGAAATATTACAACATTAAAAATGATAAAAAAATTAACATAAGCAATATATCACTGTGTATTAATACTGACCCCAAAAAAGTCATAATGTATGTATGTATTCAAAGAATTCACATAAAATCAGCCACAGAAAATTAAATTCATACCTAGCTTATATTTCTCTGAAGCTGGATTTGGACACAGTTCAGGGTTGTTGTGATGGAGATGTTTGATGACCAGTGCATGAAGACGCGGCACCAAAGAAGGTGGAGGTTCATGAGCCTGTAGTTCATCACGTTCTGATATATCAATGCTGTAACATATCATTGTTGCCAACAATTAAAACTATAGAAATTAATTCAAATACCAAAAGGTTTCCAAGCTGCAGTTCATAATTACTTTAGAATTTTAATCAATAAGACACAAACAATTCCTAGCACAATTTACTGACCGCTGTTTATCTCATCAGGTACATACTACAGTATGTACATCAACATATAATATGTAAAGTAAAGGACCCTTTTCCGAGCCTTCAGGCTTATTGGGTATTTAGTGCTAGATCTATATTTTATAGCCCAATTGACACTTGGTGGGTGATGTGGTCAGCATCACGCCGGCCGCCTTTACTGCCTAGGACTGTACCTGGTACCCACTCAAGCTGGATCAAGCTGAGTGCCAAGATCATTAAAAAAAGTCTGGCTCCTGTCAGGACCCAAATCCACGACATTCTGATCCGCAGGCGAGCATCTAGCCGCTAGACCACTGCGGTTTCCATCACCAGACATGCAAGGTGAAATAAAGGAGAGTAAACACTGCAGCTCGTCCTCTGAGTGGGTGGTAACTGCTGCATCATCTACAAACAGCCACTCTCTGATAAGTACCTTCCCTTTCCTGGTTTTGACTTTTAGCCTAAGAGCATTACAGAGGCTGCCATCAGATAGAGAATGGATGAATTTACCGCAATCCTGATTCAAAAGGCATGTTTCAAAAGGAATGAAAAGTATACTCCAAACAGAGTGGGAGCAAGTACATATCCCTGCTGCACTCCATTGTTGATTACAAACTCTTCCAATGTTACACCATAAAAGTTGATTATACCTTTCACACCTGCATGATGGACAGCTTGTCTCAAAAGTCATAAATCATACCATTTCTTCCGCATGTTCAGTTGGTTCTTTTCTAGTCTTGTAAATTCTAGCTTTTTGATTTCTCACCTGCTTAATCTATAATCATCATTATTCTTTAGTACTGTTATATGTTAAATAGGGCTAGCAGTGTATTCTTTCATTCCATTCTATACTGTGCAAATGTTTCAATATCATGGATGGAATGCACTCCCACATCTGTAACCCCTCTCAGGCACATAGGCAGGTAAATTTTTACCCCACCAGGACATCGCACAGAGCGATAAACACCTGGTGACACACAAAGTGCCACCATGCAGATGAGGATCACACATGGAGAGGCACTGGAAACCCCGTTCAACCATTAGGGTATATTAGAGCCCCTAGCAACAGCCAGGGTGGGGCTTCAAAAGAATGAAAAATTGCGGCCCACAATGGAGGCGACGTTGTTTTTGCAAAAAAAGCGTGACTGATGCATGTTCGTCTTAGCCTAATCTATCAAACACAAATATTCAAAAATTTTTACAATTTACATCTCCTTTAAATAATGCCCAAATAAAATTCAAGAAAACAGACATAAACAGAAGACTTACTGAGAATCCTCATCATAGATACAAGCCAACTGTGGATCCACTGATAGAATGCCAATGACTTCTATCGCATCTGTTGTTTTCAGCTCCACATTTCTAGAGTAAACCTATAAAATGTGCAGGCGTTAAACAACCATTCTTCTCAGTATTAATCATATAAACAAACAGTACCATATAATACAAAAATTACTCATTAATTCAATACAAATTACCAAAACCTGTGTTTTACAGGAAGCAAGGAACACACCTAACACACATGCTAGAGGAGGAACACACAACTGCAACCTAACACACATGCCATAGGAGGAACACACAACTGCAACCTAACACACATGCCATAGGAGGAACACACAATCCCAACCTAATACACCTGCCATGGGAGGAACATACAACCGCAACCTAACATACATGCCATGTGAGGAACACACAACCGCAACCTAACAAACATGCCATGGGAGGAACACACAATCCCAACCTAATACACCTGTCATGGGAGGAACATACAACCGCAACCTAACATACATGCCATGGGAGGAACACACAACCGCAACCTAACAAACATGCCATGGGAGGAACACACAATCCCAACCTAATACACCTGCCATGGGAGGAACATACAACCGCAACCTAACGAACATGCCATGGGAGGAACACACAACCGCAACCTAACAAACATGCCATGGGAGGAACACACAACAGCAACCTAACAAACATGCCATGGGAGAAACACACAACCGCAACCTAATACACCTGCTATGGGAGGAACACACAACCGCAACCTAACACACATGCCATGGGAGCAACACACAACCGCAATCTAACACACAAGCCATGGGAGGAACACAAAACCGCAACCTAACACACATGCCATGGGAGGAACACACAACCGCAACCTAACAAACATGCCATGGGAGGAACACACAACCCCAACCTAACACACATGCCATGGGAGGAGCACACAACCGCAACCAAACATACATTCCATGGGAGGAACACACAACTGCAACCTAACACACCTGCCATGGGAGGTACACACAACCGCAACCTAACACACATGCCATGGGAGCAACACACAACCGCAATCTAACACACAAGCCATGGGAGGAACACAAAACCGCAACCTAACACACATGCCATGGGAGGAACACACAACCCCAACCTAATACACCTGCCATGGGAGGAACACACAACCGCAACCTAACACACCTGCCATGGGAGGAACACACAACTGCAACCTAACACACCTGCCATGGGAGGAACACATAACCGCAACCTAACATACATTCCATGGGAGGATCACACAACTGCAACCTAATACACCTGCCATGGAAGGAACACACAACCGCAACCAAACACACATGCCATGGAAGGAAAACACAACCGCAACCTAACATACCTGCCATGGGAGGAACACATAACCGCAACCTAACATACATTCCATGGGAGGAAAACACAACCGCAACCTAACACACCTGCCATGGGAGGATCACACACAAGCAACCAAACACACCTGCCATGGGAGGAACACACAACCGCAACCTAACATTCATGCCATATGAAGTGACAAAGGAGGATTGGCACTAGAGTGACTATCTCATCCTGCCAACTGCAAATTCCAACCCATCACTGATAGGATTATGAAAGGCTTGCATGATTTGATTGAGGGCCTACACTCCAATGGGAGATGAATGGCAGAAGAAGAGAAAACTATCACACACACAAATATATTCAAATACTATTATTACAGCACAAGAATAAATTCATTACAGCACTATTCTCCCTCTTATGTCACAAACTAGGAGTAAATATATTTCATCTTAACTTCTTTTTGTCCATGTCTCACATGCATATAAAAACACAGGTTCTATGTAACACTTTTTCTAAATGCAGCTGACACTGGTGAGTATCTTATGCATCTTGCTAAAGGCCAGTTTTGTCAGGACAATTCTTGTCCTGACTGCAATTTCTTAAGCAGCATATGTAATGACTGTTCCAAGATAGTTATATGGATTCACCTGTTGAAGAATTTTGTCATAAGCATGTATTTCACACTGTGGCATATCTTGTCTTTTTGGTGATGATCATTTTATGTTACTGGGCAGTCACAAACTGTTGATATTATCCATCACTGGTAGTAATATACTGGTCTGTATGTATGTGTAGGTCACAACATAAACATATTCATCAATCAGCTTATCTAGTTCTAATTCCTCAGCAAGAGTCTTGTGGACTGATGTGGGTAATTATGTTTCTCCACATTTTGCTATCTCCAAATACTTGAACTGATTCATGTGCTGACACATTTCCCCACCACAGCAAAAAGCTGTGAAGAATCTTCTTTGTCTTTCAACGTTTTCCATAAATCTTTCTATATTCAAGTTTTTCTGTTTTCCTAATGTGACCAAATAAATTATTACTGCCTCTGTTAGATGTCTGCAAATAAATTAGCTAGCATTTATGTGGTAAGCCTCTTTTATAACATTTAGAATATTCATTTTGGTTGCTCAAAGAATGTTAATTTCCTCTATAGAACCACATCTATAAGACATGGCTTTCTCACTTGTTCACTCATTCTTATTACTATGAACTTAGTTCGGATCTAACATTACAGCACTTGAGGCAGTCCTAAAAACACTTCATCTCCCTCTTCATCAGCCAGCATAAAGTTCCAATACTAATGATTACTGAGTTCAGAACTAACATTACAGCACTTGGGACAGTCCTAGAAATACTCCATCTCCCTCTTCATCAGCCAGCACAAAGTTCCAGTACTAATGATTACTGAGTTCAGAACTAACACTACAGCACTTGGGACAGTCCTAGAAATACTCCATCTCCCTCTTCATCAGCAAGCACAAAGTTCCAGTACTAATGATTACTGAGTTCAGAACTAACATTACAGCACTTGGAACAGTCCTAGAAACACCACAGCTCCAGCTTTACCAACCAGCACAAAGTTCCAATTGTATGATTATGTGCCTTATGTGACTGTCTACAAGATCCTCTGAAAGACTCCTAAATACATCATTCCTGCATGTGAGCTGTTCCCTTATCCATGCTGTTTACAATTAACGAAAACATTGACACTTACTCTCAAAATACAAGGCACACCACTCTCATTTGGTAAAGGCAGATTCATATTCACAACCTGTGGTGCTGTTCTCACAGAATGAGCTCCACCTGTTCAATAGAAACTGCTCTGTAGTTACTCTACAAATGTGTAAGCAATGCAAATGTTAACAAAAAATATGATTCAAAAGTTCTAATATATACATCATAAATTAAAATTGAGCACCAGAAACACTCTACGATAAATAAGCATGTTTCCCCTCTCTTCAATAAGCAAAGCATCATTTTCACACCAGTGGCCTATCGATCACAAGTTTTTTTTTTTTAAATAAGCCAATCGGCATGCAATGGGTAATAAGATAACATACTGCCTGTATTTACTTAACAGGACAGTTTATGGTAAACATTTGTAGCTGGATTACTTAAAAATCAGCCACAAATAAAAACCCAAGAGCCTCGGTCTAGCAGCTACAGCAATATTCAGCTCCCATTCCCAGTAAAAATATTTGCCAGTAGACAATTTTTTACTTCAAAACACAAACTACATCATCACCTGGCATGCCCCTGAACAGACTCCCCACCCAGGATCAATCTGAAGTGTATCTGCTTCGCACATATCATTAGGAGGCTTAACATACTGAGAACTGACAGAATAAGAAATCATATTAGAAGACTCAACTCTTCTGATACCAAGAAAAGCAGAATACTAATTTATATCTAATTTGTCTGCCCTCTGGTAGTGACAGAGTGTAGGGAGCTAGACAACGAATGCAACAAGAAGGTAAAGTCGGGAGATTTGAACCAGCATCGCTGCACACGGTTATAAACCATAAGTGCTCTGCCACCAGTACGGACAGCAGATTAAAAACTGTCCGTCCTCACGAAACTCCGTAGCTACAGCGACCTTCCTCCATTTAACCCAGAGTGTAAACTCTGGTACCCATTTCCTAGAGGCTGGGTGAACCCCTGAAACCGCATGGTTTTGAACACCGGTTGTGGGCTGCAAGTCGCAGCTGGATTTGAAAGCAAGTCTACTATCGACTGCGCCAACACGCCCCCTTCCCCCAAGCAACAAGAAGAGATGCATTAAGAAATTTTCTTCTTTGAGTTCACCGGTTGTAAACTCCAGCGGGAAAGTCCTAGTTTTTCGTCCATTGCTAGAATTTAGTCCTGTTCCAGAACCTGAGTGCTGTGTGTGCATCAGTTTTACAAATCTGACTTATCTGTACAGAGACTGTTGATTCCTTGCCTCTCAGGAAAATACATACCAACTTCAGAGGAGGCCCTCTTCCCCCAATTAGGCAATAAGAAATGATTTTAGGAGACTTAACATAACAATACATTACTACTATTAGTGCTGAGATGCTCAAGATAAAGTTTGTTTGTTAGTTCGTTACAAAGATTATACACAAGAGAATTCTCAGCACAGCTCACAACTCCAGTGCTTAAGAGAGTCTAAATATTAATATAAGAATCTTACACAATAGAAAAATGTTTCGTGGGTAGCTTTTCTCAGAACGCTGAAGAAGCTAAAAGATGTTATAAAGATTAGCATGTAAAATTCCAATTCTTGAACAAGACAAAAATTCAGGAGTGGACGAAGAACCAGAACTTTCTGCCAGAGGTTACAGTGCGTGAGCGCTAAGAGGAGGAAGAAGAAGAAATAAGTAATACAATTTTCTAACATGGAAATGTTACCAAGACAGTGGACTTTTCATAGTCTGATCTACTCTCACCTTCTGTGTGTGTAGATGGTGTGCTGTTCTCCACCTCCACATTATCTGTTTTCACCTTTTCATCTTTGAAAGATTTCTGTACAGTATCAGAGTCGCTAGGCTCATCATCATCCCCACGTCCACGTTTTGGTCTGCCTGAAGTGCCTGATGCTACTGGGATTTTCACACGTTCGAAATGTTTATTATAAACATAAATGTAAAGTCAAGGAAAACAAATGTCCAGCAACGGTTTTTTAACCTGTGTGATTAAACAGAAATTTATGACAAAAATAAATAATGGCTACACAAGACACATTGAAACAAAAATGTTTAAAATAACAAAGGTTGAATGCATTAAAACTGAAAGAAATTCATATTTAGCACCATAAGTCCTCGGAAGTAGTGGTAGCGTAGCAGCT